AAAAAAAAAAAATATGTGCCTCAGGACAACCCAGTAAGGGAGGTGTTCTTATACCCATTTTACAGATGGCAAAATTGAGGCTAAACGAAGTTATTTAACTGGCTGGTGATGACCCACATAGTATGTAGTGAAACTGGAATTTGAGTCTGACTCTAAAACCTATGCTTTTTCCAAGTAATACATGTGAGCACAAAAAGAGTAAAAGACTCTCTGAGTGGCTGAAACTTGGAAATATGTCTTCAAGTGTCCTTCAAAATTTCCCAGTCCCAGCATCTTATTCACTTAAAACGTGGTGAGTTGGCTCAGTACCTGTGGCTCAAGCAGCTAAGGTGCCAGCCACATACACCTGAGCTGCCGGGTTCGAATCCAGCCCAGGCCGCCAAACAACAATGACAGCTGCAACCAAAAAATAACTGGGCATTGTGGCCTTAGCTACTTGAGAGGCGGAGGCAGGAGAATCACTTGAACCCAAGAGTTAGAGGTTGCTGTGAGCTGTGATGTCACCACACTCTACCCAGGGTAACAGCTTGAGGCTCTCTCTCAAAAAACAAACAAACAAACAAAAACCCTGGTGAGTTGATCACACTAATCAGCATGGTTAACTATTTCTATCTATCTATCTGGGATAACCTTGCCTTCAAGGTTAATTAACTTAAGTAGTTCTTCCCTGGCAGCACCTCCATTATTCTCAGCCTTTTCTTTTCCTTTGTTCACACATTGAACAAGCTCTAAGCACCTGTTAAGCTTTAAGCATTGTGGAAGGCTTGCTGGGTGAAGGGCCAGGGAATAGGCTTCTCTTCCCTGGAGGAATTTCCAGCTTGCAGGGCAAGTTTCTGAGGAGCCTTTGATGGGCAAAGCACAGTGATAGGCCCTTAAGAGGGAGAAGGAAGGCCACAAAGACTTGCTCTTGGAGGGTCTCATTCTCTGAGCAGAAGTACATGCAGTTAGTGTGAGCTGGGGGGTGGGCACAGACAACCTTGAGTTCCTTGACCAAGACACTCTGGGCCTTGCAGTGCTGCTTCTAAATCCTACCTTGCTGTGGTCAGTGTGGGACACAGTCTCAGAGCCTAGCAGCCTGCAGCTTGGAAGGAGGCCTTTAAACTAGAGAAGGTGCTGGAAAGTATGGTGATGCATAAAGAAGTAAGCTAATTTTATCCCTCCTCTCAGCACCCAGCAAGTGCTATGCTTAACATTTGACTTTATATCAACATAGATTTGTTTAACCAGAAGATAGTTATTTCCCTTAGATTGAAAAAGAGAAAGAGTGAAAGGACAGAGAAGAGGAGAGAGACAGACAGAGTCAAAGAGACACAGAGGGAGACAGAGACTTTAAGACAGACCCATACATATACAGAGACCCGAAGAAAAGAAAGAAGATGCAGAGATAAAGGCATCTTTTGGTTTGTGGCTCTAGTGAATAGCAGGAAAGATTTTTTTTTTTTTTTTGGTTCCTAGTATTTATTTAGGAAGAAGTTTTACATACTAGGATAAAGTGGAAGAAGTTAACCTAGAACTTATCACTTCCAATCGCTCGTTCCTGGTCATCTCATGATAGCCATGAGAAAGAGGCCTCTGACAGGAATTAAAGCAGAAAAGAATTTTAAACTGAACACCAGACTGGGAGAAATCAGACAATCTCCTGCCCCCTCCCTCCCTGGCCACATGACCCTGGCTGGCACATCGCTAATTTCCAGATAGTACCATTTTCAGATGTGAGTACATTGGAAATGTCAGTATTCCACTGTCTTGTCCACTGCTTTGTCCGTGTCACCCACCACCACTCCTGCTTGACCGAGCACTGACTGTTGATGAATACTACACTAAAGCAGCACTTAAAACAAGCACTACGCGACTATAAACATGCATTCCTTTGGCCTAGCATTCTCACTTCTAGGAATTTATCCTAAGGAAAATAATTAAGGACATGGGCAAAGAGGTTAGCATAGGATTGTTCACTGCATCATTATTTAGAAAACCAAACAACAACCAAAAGAAACTAAATAGCCAACCCCTACTGGGGACCTGATCGATAATAATGGTATATAACCTTACAATAGCTTTCCATGCTGCTTTTAAAATTAGGCTATAAATGGATATTTATTGAACTGGGAAAACACAATGTATTAGGTGAAAGAAGGAAGTTGTAAATAGTATATATAAATAGTATAACTCTCTGTAATTAAGAATAAAAATAAAATATATAATGAGGAAGACAGACCAAATGTTAGTTTCTGGATGGTGGGATAAGATACCTTCGTTTTAGGTATTTTTTTACATGAAAACATTTTTTTCACAGTGCTCATGTGTGATTTTGTACAATAAGGACAAATTTCCTTGCATCTGTCCAGTAGTGCCTCTTGCTGGGAGTCCAGGAATACTCGGGCAAGCTGGATCACCTGCCCCAGAGGCATTGTGGGAAAGGCCATTGACATTCATGGGCATCAAGCTGCTCATTAAGAATTCCAAAAGCAGTGTGTCCCCACCCTGGTTTGACTCCTTGTCCCAGCTGGTCTTATGGGTGAGACCTCAGTGATTCAACACTTTGGCATCCAAATGCTTTGTGACCTGCTAGTGGGTTAGCCGCTGCCCTCCCTTGAGGGGAAACACCATGTGTACATGTCAGCACCTGATACAGCCAACAGAAACTTCAGGGCCTTCCCGCCTGTCCCTGTAAGAGAGTGACAGAGAAGATGCTGTTTCTCAGGTCTGTCCTACTACATATACTGCGGGTGTGATTCTGAATGCCGTCACTATGGCAACTCAGAACTCAGGCTCACTCAGCCTCTTCAATCCCTGGGGTGAGTCCAACACCCAGGGAAAGAAGGTCAGGTTTGGAGTCAGAAAAAAATCACTGCCTGGCTGTGGGGCCTCACGCAAGACACTTGGCTTTTCTCTGCCTCAGTGTCCATATCTGTAAAATGGTGCTGAAGCTTCTTATCTTGCTTACCTGTGAGACTGGTGTGGAATAATCTGTGAACTGGAAAGCACAAGAGGAATACAGCATCACGAGTTTTGACTTGTCCCCAAATTTCTCTATGTGACTTTGGGTAAATCACTGAACCTCTGTGTGCCTCAGCTGCTCTCTTTGTCCACTGCTTTGTCCCTGTCACCCACTAGGTGCACTGTAAGGTGCCTGTGAGAATTCCAGAATCTCAAAGTTGGAAGGAATCTTAGCCCTGACCACCCATAGAGGAGTCCTTTTGATAAGCTCTCTAATAGGGATACTTGTCCAGCCTCTGCTTGGTCACCGCCCATGGCAGAGAGCTCACGTCTGCACAACTTCCCAGGGAGCCATTGCTATATGGCACTAGCTGTAAGTGCTTCCATGTGGAGTGTTTTTCAATTAAATGTTTGGTTAAAAAATTAGCATTCCTTTATCCACTCCTGGCTTTCCCATAGGGCTTGCACAGGGTAGAAAATTAACAGTGGTCCAGAAAAGCAGATATAGTCTCAGCTCTGGAAGCCATTCAGGCTTAGCATAGTAGAAGGAGCCTAGGTTTGGGAGTTGCACATTCCAGGATAAAATTGCACTTGTCCACTTATTAACTGGTTGACCCTGGGCACCTTATATTACTCCTCTGAGCTTCAGTGTCCTTACCAGTAAAATAAAGATAGAAATACCTACCTCATAGTATTGTGAGAATTACACTTTTTATTAAGCTTACAACCCAGGCTTCCTGGGTGGGATTCTCCCTCAACAGCACAGCTGCCCGCGGAGCACCTGGTGTGTGCGGGCCTTTGTGTGCTCCATATTTTAGGGTCATCGCCTTCTCAGACTTGTGCCAGGTGCTATAAAGGAAAGATGATGTAACTGTTTGAAGACAAAGTTCACCTGGCGATTCACCTGCCTCAAGGCCAACACCCCGTCTCTGCCCATAGACTCAGTGGGGCACTAAGAAAGTGTCCCAGGGCGTCATTTGGTGACTTTCCACTGCATTACCCGCATCAGTGTTTTAATGGGAATCTCATACAGGGCCCCCCAAATGTGGTCTGCAGTAGACTTCCAGGCATGGTGACAGGAAGTTGGGGATTGAAGCTGTTTGGGGGTGTGAAAATGTTCCCTTAGCCACTGATATGAGAGTTTGTCATGTAGGCCTCCCAGACAGTGAGTCAGGACGCCCGGCTCCAGCCCTGCCAATACCTCGCTGTGGGCTCTCTGGAGCCAGTGACTTCATCCCTTGGCGCTGTTTTCCTCATGTGCAAAATGGCAGGCTGAGCCTGGGACCTTCCAGGCTCCAGAATTCTAGATGTCCCCATTTGTTGGATGCAGCATGAGATGGGGAAACTGCTGTAGATGCCCCCCAGCCCCTGGGTGCCACCAACTAACCCTTGTCTCTGCTTCCTCCACAGAAGAGTACCTCAGAGTCCTCAATGTGGGTGTGGCTGAGGTGAAGAAATCCTTCCTTGGGCCCTTGTCTCCGTCCTGCAAAATGGTGCAGATGATGAGGCGGTTTCTGTACCAGGTCCTGCCGGAGGACTCCTACAAGGCCGCTACGGGGAAGCTCCACGTGTGCCTCACCCGCTTGACTGACGGCGAGAGTGTCGTGGTTTCAGAGTACACATCCAAGGAAGAGCTCATTGAGGCAAGGCATTGGTTAAAAAAGGGAGGGAAGGCTGATGGGGTGGATTGGAGGCTGCACCCGCTCTCTCAGGACAGCCCAGGAAGCGCCACCCACCTGCCTCACTTCCCTCGTCCCTCCCTGCCTTCATGCCCCAGCATCTCTCGGTGCAAGGCTCAGCGCTCGGTGAGATGGGCACAGAGAAGCCCAAGGTGAACCAGGTTGGATCACTGACCTCAACATTTCACAACCTGGAGTCCCTGGGGCTCAGCCCCTGATTTTGCATGTGTCCTGCCCTGCCCTCTGTGCTCATCCTGGAACTTCTCCGAAGCCCAGGTGTGACCATGGCTCACTTAGGGCCTCCCAGCCTGGGTTGCAGTGAGTCCTCCCTGAATTACTCCCAGTTTGGGGGAACAGTCAGGGGACGTGGGCCCTTCTGCCCTCTCTCTTCCAGTGGCCCTTGATAAAGGGTTGTATTATCACTAAATCAGTTATTACTCAGAAAAGTACATGGCAACCCAACAGTGCACTGTTCTAAGCTGATTAATATAAATTTAATCTAAAAATTACAATTGCTGGAGAGTGCCATGGGTAAACCCAATTTCCTCTCGGGACAGAGGGGTTAGGCTGTATTGGCCTCCACCCATACTTCCATGCTCCCTCCCTCCTCCAAATACTGGGCCTTTGCCACCTCATCTTCATATCCCCGCATTGGCCTGGCCACAGTCCTGGGGGTGGGAGATGAATGGGCAGTGGGCACGCACACCCCTTCTGCCCACTTCATAGCCCCTGGGTTTATTAGCACCTTGATATTCAGCTCTGCCTCCTCACATCCGCCCACATTCCGACTTCATCTCCCACTACGGCAGCTTTCTCTCCCTGGCTCTTTCCCTTTACCTCCCCCTTTCCACTACATCAGCCATAGTGAACCTCACAGAACCAGGTCTCTGGGCCTTACCACCTGCCACACACTCTGCCTAGTCCCCTGCCTCCCCACTCCCTCCTGCTTCTCCTGCTGGTGAAACTCCAGGCACTGCTGCCCTGCCCTGCCCCAGCCCCCTCAAGGCCATGAAGCCCATGCTTACCTCCATCAAAGCACCTGTGACCCTGCTGTCCTGTCCCTTGCTTGCTCCCCCATTTTGAGCATCACCAAGATCTGGCCTGAGACACACACACACTGATGGCTTTTGAATCCTATGGGAGTCATGAAAATTTGATGTCAAAAGGGACCCTAGAGATAACTAAGGCCATCCTCTCCCTTTAAAGCTCAGATGTCAGGCCCAGACTGACCATGTAGGCCCAACTAGTGAGGGCCAGGCCAGGAATTGAACTCTGGGCTGTTTCTCAGGGTGGTGGCTTCACCATGGGATTACAGAGGTCCAGGCTGCTGGCCAGGTGAGCAGCCTGCCCAGCCGGGCCCCTACCTCTCAGGCCTGTCCTCTCCCACAGGCCCTGTACTGCAGCTGCTTCGTCCCCGTGTACTGTGGCCTCATCCCCCCGACCTACCGTGGCGTGGTAAGTGCTCCCATATGGTGAGCGGTGACCCAGGGTCCCTGTAACCCGCATCTGGGGGAGCTGAGGGTTGTCTCAGAATGCAGGGGGAGCCCCCAGAGTTAGCAAGTTTCTCTCTGGGGCAAATCAAGCCTCCACATGCTTGTCTGATTCCTCCAGACTTGACAGATAGTGTAGAACACTGACCCTGAAGTGCGGAAACCTGGAACCTTGAGTGATGAGGATATGTGGGACCTTCCAGGCCTGTGCCTCACAGACTTTAATGTGCCCATGAATCAGCCGAGGGTCTTATAAAACAATGCAAATTCTGATGCAGTCCATCTAGGAGGGGTTACACCTCTCTCTAACCAGCTGTGGGTTATGCCGGTGCTGCCAGTCAATGGGCCACATGCTGAGTAGTGGTGGTCTAACTCAGGGGTCCTCAAACTTTTAAAACAGGGGGCCAGTTCACTGTCCCTCAGACCATTGGAGGGCTGGACTGCAGGCCCCGGGATGAGTCGGCTGCTAAGCAGGACAGGCAGTGGCAAAACACCCGGCGGGCCAGATAAATGTCCTAGGCGGGCTGCATGTGGCCCATGGGCCGTAGTTTGAGGACATCATGCCCCCTCCACATTTAACATTTATATATAGAGAAAATAAGGTCCAGAGATTAGGATTCATGTAGTAGATGCAGCCCATATTGCCTGTTAGCCAGCTAATTCTCAGGCATCCCCAACAGGCAGAGCCGTGGTATTTGTTGTCCTTCACACATAGGTGAGGGAGTAAAAGCCCCAAGAAGGGACAGGCCTTGAGGGTGGACACATGGTGAGACTGTTGCAGGGCAGCTTGGTCCCCCTCACAGAGGGTCCCCTCCCCCTGGGAGCCCCAGTCTCAGCACCATTAAGATGCTGAGGGGGACTGTGCAGGAGCAGAGGACTGGGCTGGGGGTCCAGAGCCCAGCGTGGACTCACTAAGTGGCCCTGAGCACTCACTCACGCCTCTCACCCACCCAGTCTCAAGGCTGAGCTCAAGGGTCTTTCATTCCTGCTGTCCCTTGAAGCCCTCCCAAGTGGGGATGAGACCTCCGACCCCAGATAAGCATTTCTCACTCCACTCCTCACAGAGATACATCGACGGGGGCTTCACAGGCATGCAGCCCTGCTCCTTCTGGACAGACTCCATCACTATCTCCACCTTCAGTGGGCAGCAGGACATCTGTCCCCGGGACTGTCCCGCCATCTTCCATGACTTCCGCATGTTCAACTTCTCCTTCCAGTTCTCCCTGGAGAACATCGCCAGGATGACCTATGCACTCTTCCCCCCGGACCTGGTGGTGAGAGGCAGGAAGGGCCTAGGAGAACAGAGATTGGGGGAAGGTGACAGATCCAGGGCTGAGGTCAGGGAGCCATATGAGTCCCCTCCCCTCAAATTATCCCTATACCTCCTCCTAGACCCACAGCCTGCTCATGCTGCTAGCTAGCCATGTGACCTTGAACATCCCCCCTAAGCTCTCCCAGCCTCAATTTTCTCCCGTGAAATGAGTTGGTGTCAGAAGCACTGATAGAAATGTTAACTGAACACTTCTATTCCAACAGTCGATGTGCCAAAACAAGGGCCAGCAAACTATAGCCCATGAGCCAAATCTAGCCTATGGCTTGTCTTTGTACAGCCTATGTGCTAAGAATGGATTTTCCATTTTTAAAGATTTGTAAAAAAGAAGAAGAGGAAAAAAAATGCAGTAAGGACTGTATGTGGCCAGCAAAGCACCAATTTCTTTGTATTCAGCCCTTTACAGAAAAGGCTTTATGGGCAATATCTCACATAACCTCCAGCATCTTCTGTGATAGATGCTATTACTGTACCCATATTACAGGTGAAGAAACCGAGGCTGTGAGAGGTTATATCCACAAGGCCCAGATCTGAGCCCAGACTCCAAACCCAGCTCTTCATATGGCCCAAATGCACCTTCTCTGGTTCCGCCATAAACACCTCACCCTCTCCTGCCCAGGGGAGACTGAGGGTGAGCTGAGAATGGTGTAACTCATTCATGTAGCACTCCTGGGACACAAGAGTAGGAACTGCCCCCCCCCCCGCTCTTCTTAGCAGTTAGTGAGGGATGGGACACTGAACAGTATGTTTTGGCAAACCCATCAAATAAAGTTCAGGAGCGATGTGGCTTGGCGCCTGTAGCACAGTAGTTGGGGTGCCAACCATATACACTGAAGGTAGGGGGTTGGAACCCGGCCCAGGCCAGCTAAACAACAATAACAACTGCAACAAAAAATAGCCAGGCATTGTGGCAGGCGCCTGTAGTCCCAGCTGCTTGGGAGGCTGAGGCAAGAGAATCACTTGAGCCCAAGAGTTTGAGGTTGCTATGAGCTGTGATGCTACAGCACTCTGCTGAGGGTGACATAGTAAGACTCTGTCTCAAAAAAAAAAAAAAGTTCAGGAGTGATGAAAGCAGTGGCTCTGGGTGAGGGCTCCACAGGTCTCTCCTTGCTGTGGCCTTATTTCCTGGTGTCCCCCATCAGATCCTGCATGACTACTACTACCGGGGGTATGACGACGCGGTTTCCTACTTGAGGCGGCTGAGTGAGTACCTTGGGGGGCTCCTGGGACAGGAAGGGTCAGAGGGTGGATAAGGACAGGAAATAGAAGGGCTGAGTAGAGCCCTTCTGTCCCCACCCTCAAATCTGTGACTTTAGGGGTGGGGACCTGGTAGCCCATATTGTCAGGGACATGCCACTGGGGCCTGAAATCAGGATGTCCGTGGAAAGGGGCCTTTGGGGTTATCTGAGGGCATGGCATCTAGGGTATTTGTGCACATATATTTGTGAATTTAAAAACTATGTTCAGGAAGTATATAGTTCAAACCTTCCTGGAGAATTTCGTTTTCATGTTATTTTTACTCTCTTCTACTTTAATCTCTTTCCAATAAAACCATACTGTTAATGTAGAACTAGATGTGACTGGTTTATATTTGTGTAAGACTTTGAGTGATATGTCAATCAACAGACTGGACAGAAGAGCCCTTGCCTAATGCTGGCTTGAAAGGTGTCCACACATAGACATCCTCTGCGGGTTACCAGGGAACAAGGAGCAGTTCCAGTGGCAGGTACCATATGTACTAACTCCACGAAGGCTACAGCAAACATCTTCGTTAAAAGAAAGCTTTGCCATATTTAGAATTAATTCTTTAGAACATGTTTTCAGAAAAAGGGATTACTAGATCCTAGCGTGTTTACCCAATGTTATATCTGAAGCTTTCTCCACATTGCCACAAGCCTATCTTTGTGATAGACTTTTTGTCAGTACGTAATATTCCATCACAGTTGTATAGAATGCTTTGCTTGATTATTCCTGTGAGTTTCCAAATGCTCACTATTACAAGTAATGTCAGGGTGACCTTTTTTTTACATATAGATTTAAGAGAATACTTTGGGGGTGAGATTATGGAAATGAATGAGATTTTTCTTCCTAGGATATAGTTACCTTTTTTATTCTTCAAAATTCCTTCTTGAGGCCTGATGTAGTGGCTCTTGCCTGTAATCCTAGCAGTCTGGGAGGCTGAGGTGGGAGGATTCCTTGAGCTCAGAGGTTTAAGACAAGCCTGAGCAAGAGTGAAAAATAGGAAATAGAAAAATTAGCTGGGCATTTTGGTGGGCACCTGTAGCCCCAGCTACTCAGGAGGCTGAGGCAGGAGGATTGTTTGAGCCCAGAAATTGTGGTTGCTGTGAGCATGAGACTCTGTCTCCAAAAAAAAAATTATTCTTCCTTTCTCAAACTCCTTCAAAGGAGTAGGGTGCCAGCCCCATATGCTGGAGGTGGCAGGCTCAAACCCAGCCGTGGCCAGAAATTGCAAAAAAAAAAAAAAAAAGGTTTACTTTGGGTGCCAGCCCCATATACCAGAGGTGGTGGGTTCAAATCTAGCCCCAGCCAAAAAAAAACCAAAAAAACTGCAAAAATGGCTCCGAGCCTGTGGCTCAAGTGGCTAAGGCGCCAGCCACATACACCTAGGGTGGCAGGTTCAAATCCAGCCCAGGCCCACCAAACAACAGTGATGGCGGCAACCAAAAAAAATAGCCAGGTGTTATGGTGGCCGCCTGTGGTCCCAGCTACTTGGAAGGTGGAGGCAGGAGACTCGCTTGAGCCCAGGAGCTGGAGATTGCTGTGAGCTGTGATGCCATGGCACTCTACCCAGGGGGACAGCTTGAGGCTCTGTCACACACACACACAAAAAAAAAAACTGCAAAAAAAAAAAAAGATTCAAACTCCTTTTATCCTTTCTTTTTACTTTCTCCTGGGTTCTTTCACCTAGCAAACAGACTGGAGGGATGAAGAGAGCCGGAGTCGAGTAGCCCTGGGCTGTGAAACCTTAGGAAAGTTGCTTCTGTTTTCTGAGTCTTGGTTTCCTAATATGCAAAAAAGGGGATTTGGGGCGTAGTACTAGCTCCAGACATCTACTACCTGTGTGATCTGGAGCTGGTAATTAATTTCCTGGGGCCTCAGATTCCTCATCTGTAAAAGGAGGTTAAGGGTGGAACCTGCCTCAGAATTTTATAATGAAGGTAAAGGAGGGAAGCCAGATGACGCCCCTAGGAGGATGCTCAGATAAATGGCTGTCAGGATGGGAACAGCCAAGGGCTGGATCCTAGCCTGAATCAGTCCAGCCCAATACTGGATGAAGCTTGATGGTAGCGGTTCAAGAATCCACCCGCAAACCTGAGGCAGTATATGGAGGATGGCTGCTTTTTCCAATGGCTCTGAAACCACTCCAAGTGGGAGCAGATACAACTCACGAGGAAGAAAATGTCTCGGGCTGCCTACCAGCTATTTTTGCTTTCTTTTCCTGCACAGCTTTCTCAGTGCAGGTTTTACCTTCGCCACCCAAATCCTCTTGTATTTGATGGCGCTGGATTTTTCTCCCTGCATCAAGTGTGAACAGGAACTACTGACACATACTGAGAAATTGTGGTGGTGCCCAGAGCCACGCCCGTCCCCACCTGCCAGCAGGCAGCGGAAAGTGGGAGGCGGGCAGCCTCTGCCTGACTGCTTTTTGGATGGGGGTCATCTTTGGCAGGAAGCCACACCCCAAAAGGTGTCACCCTCACCTCCTCAACTCTCATTCTCACATCCTTTTTCTCCTCCCTCTCAGGGGCTCACATTCACCTAATTATTTCTGCTGCCAGGCAAACCGCCCTCTCCATACTTGGCCTCCCCTGGAAGCCGCCTTCTGCCAAAGGGAAGGGCATGGCAAGCTGGCATGCTTGGAAATCCACCTTCCCCACACAGATGTGTGAACGTGGGTGTTGAGTGAGGTTGGCGCTCAGAGCACGCCATGTCTAAACATCCATCCAGCATTCAATACAGGGGTGCCTGGCCAGACCTCCTTCCTTCTCACTCTCTCCTCTGTGAAATCATTGTGATATTCAAGACAGTAAATAATCCATAGCCCCCCAAGTTCCCTCAAGCTTTTTTATGATCCTTCCTGCCTTCCTTCACCACCCCACCCCCCATTCCTAAATCATCCCTAATCTGCTTTCTGTCATTATAGATTAATGCACATTTTCTGGAGTTTTTGTTAAATAGAAACTTACAGTGTGAACTCTTTTTTAATCTGAATTCTTTCACTTTGCATTAGTCTAAGATTCATTCATGTCATTGCATGTATAAATGTTGATTCCTTTTTTCGTCCTATACCTTTGTATGAATATACCATAGATCATTTTTCTTTTCTTTTTTTTTTTTTTTTGCAGTTTTTTGGCTGGGGCTGGGTTTGAACCTGCCATCCCCAGCATGTGGGGCCAGCACCCTACTCCTTTGAGCCACAGGTGCCACCCAATACCATAGACCATTTATCCACTCCCCTGTTGGTGGACATTTAAGTTGTCTCCAGATTTGAGCTATTATGAATAAAGCTGCTCTGAACAAGTATTTGTATGCTGTCATTTCTCTTAAATAAACACCTAGAGGGAATGACTGGATTGTATGGCGTGTGATGTTTAACATACATACATAAGTATTTTAATTGTGCTAAAAACACATACCACAAAATTTACCATTTAATCTTTTTTTTTTTTTTTTTTGCGGTTTTTGGCCAGGGCTGGGTTTGAACCCGCCACCCCAGGCATATGGGGCCTGCACCTTACTCTTTTGAGCCACAGGCACCGCCCATTTTAATCATTTTTAAGTGTGTAGTAGTAGTGTTAACTATATTCATACCGTCGTACAACAGATCTGGAGACCTTTTTCATCTTGCAAAACTGAAACTCTACACCAGTATTTTTCAACACTTTTTATCTCATGGCACACTTGAACCTGTAGTTAAACTTATGTGGCACACTTAAACGACATTGATCAAAAAAGAGAGTTAAAAAAAAAGAATATGCTTAGTGCGCTTGGAGCTTCTTTCAGAAAAGAAATTTAATTAATGATCTTTAAAACTTTTTTTTTTTGAAACAGAGCCTCAAGCTGTCCCCCTGGGTAGAGTGCCGTGGCATCACAGCTCAGCTCACAGAAACCTCCAACTCCTAGGCTTAAGCGAGTCTCCTGCCTCAGCCTCCCAAGTAGCTGGGACCACAGGCGCCCGCCACAATGCCCGGCTATTTTTTGGTTGTAGCCTTCATTGTTGTTTGGCGGGCCCAGGCTGGATTCAAACCAGCCAGCTCAGGTGTATGTGGCTGGCACCTTAGCCACTTGAGCCACAGGCGCCCAGCCGATCTTTAAAACTTTTTGAGGCACACCTAAGCTCCTCTCAAGGCACACTAGTTGAAAATCACTGCTCTAGGCTCGGCGCCTGTGGCTCAAGTGGCTAAGGCACCAGCCACATACACCTAATGTGGCGGGTTTGAATCTAGCCCGGGCCTGCCAAACAACAATGACGGCTGCAACCAAAAAATAGCCGGGTGTTGTGGCGGGCACCTGTGGTCCCAGCTACTTGGGAGGCTGAGGCAGGAGACTCGCTTGAGCCCAGGAGTTGGAGGTTGCTGTGAGCTATGATGCCACAGCACTCTACCCAGGGTGACAGCTTGAGGCTCTGTCTCAAAAAGAGAAAATCACTGCTCTCGACCCATTGGTCAGCAACATTTTCTCCTCCTCCAACCCTGGCAGCCACCATTCTACTTTCTATTTCTATGAATTTGATTACTTTAGATACCTCATATACGGAATGATGTAGTATTTTTTGTGACTAGCTTATTTCACTTAGCATAATGTCCTCAGGGCTCTTCTGTGTTGTAGCATTTCACAAGATTTTCTTCCATTCTAAGGTGAAATAATGTTCCCCCATACGTATAGGTTACAATTTTTTAAATCTATTCATTCATTGAAGGACATCTGAGTTGCTTCCACCTTTTGGCTAAATAATGCTGCAATAAATATGGTTGTGTACATATCTCTTTGAGATCCTAGTTTCACTTCTTTTGAATATATAATCAGACTGTATCTTTGACTTTTTAAGAAACTGCCAAATTGTTTTCCAACAGTGATGATTGTACAATTTTACATTCCCACCAGCAGTGATGAGAGTTCCAGCTCCCCCAGTTCTCACCACCACTTAGTATACTCAGTCTTTTTCATTTTAGCCATTCTAATAGGTGTGTGGTGGTCTCTTTTCAAGGTTTTAGTCTTCATTTCCCTCCGACTAATAATGTTGAGCATCTTTTCATTTGCATATTTGCCATCCATATGTCTTCTTTGGTGAAGCATCTGTTCTGTTCTTTTACCCATGCCCCACCCCCCGACCTTTAATCAGCTTTGTTATTTAGAATAGTTCTAGATTTATGAAAAACTGTGAAAGCAATTCAGGTCAGGGCATTACCACATACTCCACACTCAGTTTTCCCTATTACTAAAGTCTCTATTAGTAATTAGTAATTAGTTCCCTATTACTAAACATTTAACCTTTGTTAAATGTTATAGTAGGGTAAAAACATAACATGGTACATAGCATGGGACATTTGTTGCAACTAGTGAACCAATATTGATATGTTATTATTATTATTATTTTTTTTTTTTTT